AGTTTATAGTTGATAAACACTAGCCTAGCGCACTATTTGCTGTAAAAAAACTAGCCTAGAGCACTCGAAGTTAAACACTATCCTAGAGCGCCGTCTGCTGTTAAACCCCAGCCTAGAGCGCCGTCTGCTGTTAAACCCCAGCCTAGAGCGCCATCTGCTGTTAAACACTAGCCTAGAGCGCCGTCTGCTGTTAAACCCCAGCCTAGAGCGCCATCTGCTGTTAAACACTAGCCTAGAGCGCCGTCTGCTGTTAAACACTAGTCTAGAGCGCCGTCTGCTGTTAAACACTAGTCTAGAGCGCCATCTGCTGTTAAACACTAGCCAGTCGTCTGCTGTTATAAACTAAGCCCAGAATCAATTCAAGAGAGAACAGTGATGTATTTTGAAATTCTCTGTTTCATGTTTCGGGCAGGTTTTCGCCGCAATCTCTACTCTGTATTGAGGTGTGATGCTTTAGCTAGCCTTCAGTTCTACTGCCATAACATTTGTTTTTTTTACCCAGAATTCAACTGCGGAGTGACTTCACTATAGCCTGAAGTGTATGCAGAATAATATGGGAAAAAGCCAGCTCATTTCATGTGTGTTTCTAAAAAGAATACTAATGCTCAGAGTTATCAGCATCCATTATGATTTATCCATCAATGAAATAAAAGTGCAGTGAATTCCCAGCGCTCTGCAGTGTCTTTCACTGGCGGATTACTGAAATATCCACAGGATCAAACTCATGAAGCTGATTCAGGATGATGCAGTGCCTTGATCAGTTCTAGTTTTAATAAGCATGGCTCTGGGGTTAACACGGCTCATTTACATTTCACCTGTAATGATTTGGCTCTTCTCCTGTGCTTTAATGGCTGAGCTCCATTCATAAGCAATACTGCACTACAGAAACACACCCTCACTGATGTGTCTGAGGAAGGTTTGTTTACATGCAGAAACCAAAACACTCAGTTATGAAAGACTAACTATCAGCTGATTTGAATGGTTATTAGGAAGGTTTGAGGTCAGATGCATGCACTACACCTTCCCATCATGCCCTGCTACAATGTGAAAACACAGATACAGTCATACCCATGAGTTTATTTACATTACTCAGAGGTGTCATTTGCTTTGCATAGTGCTTTATTTTTGCCTTCACATCCTCGGCTCGTTTATGAGCTCTTGCACAGTGTTGATTTTGTTGAGCTTTTAGGACGGCTGTGACTTTAGTGTAAGCTGTGACTCATATTTATTGTTGTTTTTTTTAAATAAATAAAGTGATCATGCATTTGAATATTGACTCATGCATAAATCTGATTAATGGTAATAAATGCTAATTACATATATGACAAGTTCATATTTGGATTTCACATATTAAACAGATGTCACATGCAACATATATTTTTAAAAATAGCAACAAATGGTGGTTACAGTATATATTAAAATGAAACCCTTAGAATTAAAAAAATAATTACATATTGGCTCAGATATATTAGCTATTATTTAATATAAGTTAAAATATGGCCATATATGAACAAATATATCTATATATTTGAACATATATGTAGATATTAGTCATTGCAATGACTGAAAAATAAATGTAAATGTAATTTTTCCCTTTTGTTCAAATATATTAGCTACAATTTAATATATATGTTCCAATATGGCCATATATGAACAGAAATATCTATATATTTGCACATATATAAGTAAATATTTGTATTTTTAATTATTGAAAATAATGTAAACAGACATTTTTGCAATTTGGAAACATGCTGCATGTATAAACTATTCCAGCCAACTATTCCAGCATATGTTTTACACAGTGCATGCTCTTGCAGCTGCAACCCAGAACTGGGAAACACCCATACACCAATTTAGCTGATCAATTCCCCTATAGTGCATGTGTTTGGACTTTGGGGGAAACCGGAGCACCCCTAGGAAACCCACGCCAACACGGGGAGAACATGCAAACTCCACACAGAAACACTAACTGACCCAGCCGAGACTCGAACCAGCAACCACAGTGCTGAGCCACCATGTCGCCCTAAATTTTACATGTGAAATCCAATTATGAACTTGTATGCCATATATGCAAATGACATGCATCAGATTTCCATATGGAGTGTAAGACGGACCCCACATGTGAGTTTACTCAGTACAGTTATATTTGTGTGTGCTGATGCTTTTATTGTCCTGTTTACATTTCTGCTGGTCAGTGTTTACCCACTGATGCTGCTTCTGTCAAACCCACACCACTGCCAGACGCTCAACAATGATTTATTTTCACCTTTATTGTAATGCTTTTTCTTCTCCTGAGTGTTGTTGCATCCATGGGGTTTGGTTTGTGTGTCTGTACAGGATGTTTCTGATGCTCTGTTGAATGTTTCTGGCAATAACGACTGCACTTTGTTTGTGACGCACTGATCTGATGTGGCGTTTTCGGACTCTCTCTAGTTTTAATGATTATTTTCCTCTGTGAATGACCGCTTCTGACGCTTTACTCGGTTTAGACTCAGACAATAATGCACTCACTACACAACGACTGTGTACAAGTTTAATTAAAAATAAATCAATATTTTGTGCTTAATAACTGCTGTGTCCTTGTTGTTGATGTACAGACATAACCTGAGATGTTTTATTCACTGCACTGTCTTGCCATTGAAGAATAATACGTTGATTTCAATAGTAAATAATTAAAGTACACTGCAGAAAATGCTGTTCTTACTTGAGTTTTTGTCTTGTTTCTAGTCCAAATATCTCAAGATGTCTAAACCATGAAGCACTTTCTAGACAAGCACAACATACTGATGTATTTTTAGAAATAATGAGTCAAAATGAAGCGAGTTTTTCTTTAACATAAGAAAAGTAATGTTATTTCAAAGCAAAAACAAGATTGTTTGACTTTTTGCAGACTTATTTTACACTTGCAGTGTAAATAATTATAAAAAATAATAAATAATAGTAAATATTAATAAATCATTTCTATTGCAGTGTCTTATTATGTCATATTTGTTACCATTTCCCTTATTTTGGTTATGTTTTCATGCTTTATTTGACATTTTGCACAGATTATTGCTAAATGAAGGATTTGTTTGTCTGTTCTTTGTTTTTTCATGTTTGCAAAAAACAAACAAACAAAAAATTAAATGATAGTAAACATTAATGTCAACCTGGAATTATACGGTAATGTATTAATGTTCACTTATTGGTCATTTAATTGTTTATTTTGAATATTCTTGCTTTATATACTGTACATGTTGTTTACATTACTAGTTGTTGTGTTACCATAGCAACTACAGAATCACCACAACAGATCAATTACTATAGTTGTTGCGTTACCATAGCCACTGTAGAATCACTACAACAGATCAATTAGTAGTTGTTGTGTTACCATAGCGACTGTAAAATCCCCACAACAGATTCATTACAATAGTTGTTGTGTCACTATAGCAACTGGAATCACCACAACGGATTCGTTACCATAGTTGTTGTGTTACCATAGCAACTGTAGAATCACCACAATAGATTCGTTACTATAGTTGTTGTGTTACCATAGCAACTGGGGAATCACTACAATAGATTCGTTACTGTAGTTGTTGTCACCATATCAACTGGAATCACCACAACGGATTCATTACTATAGTTGTTGTGTTTCCATAGCAACTATGGAATTACCACAACGGATTCATTAATATAGTTGTTTTGTTACCATAGCAACTGTAGAATAGCCACATAGTTTAAAGCATTTTACTATAATATAGTTCAAAAGCTCTTTTTTTTAATGATTTTTATGTACGGGATGTATTTTTTTCAGCTAAAGAAGTGTAGTATTTTAAAATTGCTTGTGATAAATGTCTTCTAAATGTGTGTGTGTGTGTGTGTGTGTGTGTGTGTGTGTGTGTGTGTGTGTGTGTGTGTGTGTGTGTGTGTGTGTGTGTGTGTGTTGTCGCCCTCTGCCGGTCAGCGTCCACCACTGCATTCGCGCCACACACACACATTGCTGCAAAACGCTCTCACACCCCGATACCCGATTCAGTCTCGCATCATTGTTGATCAGTGATCACCGTAAATCTGCTTTATTCAGTATAATCGTGTCAGATGTCTGAGTAAAGCCGCTCTGCTGCAGAATCTCCACAGCGCGGTTTGTTTTTCTTCATGAATACTAAACAGAGACGCAGCGGGCAACCGCGTGACCCCCGTCAGCAGATTCGCCAGAGTAACACCATACAGATGACCATAAAAAAATAACCAAGCCCACACAGAGATATATTTCTGTATGTAATCCAATATATAACACTACGTACTTCATGTGAGGAATCGCAAATATTGTAGAATGGGTATTCTTAGCGTGCGGTTATTGGTGAAAGTGCCGCGCGCGGATGCAGCGGTAGCCTCTTTGTTCGAGAGCTTCAGTTCCTGGTGTTATTCAGTGTGTGTGATGGTCAGAATTCATAAAGGATATATTATTATAATAACTGAGCTCAGACCCGCGTGTTCTGAATTAAACCCGTCCCGGTGTGGATCCTCGTCCACGGAGAGATCGCCGAATCTGCCGCGGACTCTGGAGGAGTAAGCGTTGATTAGCACACACTCTCACCTGTTAGATGTATGTATGTGTGTGTGTGTGTTTGTGTGTTTGTGTTTTAATATTATTCATATCATCACAGAATAACGCTTCGTTTTCTTCAAGATCGTGTTTTATGCGGGACACGTGTGTAAAGGAAAGGCGGGTAAACACACACACACACACACACACACACACACTGACACCTCCACCGCACACACACGCGTTTTTCAGCTTTTACCATGGAAACCGGGCGATTTTGCTCACGTTTTTGGATAGGATCATGTACAATACATGGTGTGTGAATATGCTAGAACTGCTCTATGCTTCTGGTTATGATGTAAACACCTGAAATGTGCCATCCTTGCTGATTGGCAGATGATAATTAAGCTATTAAAGCAAATAAGAGGTGAAGCTGCAGGTGTGTATATCTATAGAGGTAAAGTGTGTTTAATATGGGCACACTCGGTCATTTAGCAGTCTCTATATTGTTCAGCATGTTACTCTGAATATTGGATGGGAATGAGCATGCCAGCATGACTTGTACACAACATTAACACTGTCTAATTGACTGTGATCAATGCTGGACTGTGATAGTCATCGGCTGCTAATCTGATTTCCCTATTTAGAATTAGCAAAGAAAACTTTTCTGACAGGATATTATTAAGGAGAAAGTCTGAATATCCCAATATAACACAGCTTTACCTCTATTGTATATCTCTGACTACAGCAGCAGCGTTTTGGTGACAGATCGTCACTGTTAGAGATGCAGTATCACAGAATACACTCTACTGGGTGCTGATTTCGCGATAGTTTTAAGCTAATATGCTTACTAAACATTTTGGTAACACTTCAGTTTAAGTATCAATCCTCATTCATTCATTTTTAGTCAGCTTAGTCCCTTTATTCATCAGAGGGTCACCACAGTGGAATGAACCGCCAACTATTTCAGCATATGTTCTATGCAGTGAATGCTCTTTTTGCTGCAACCCAGTACTGGGAAACACTCATACACTACGGCCAGTTTAGTTGATCAGTTCCCCTATAGCACATGTGTTTGGACTGTGGGGGAAACCGGAGCACCCGGAGGAAACCCACACCAACACGGGGAGAACATGCAAACTCCACACATAAACGCCAACTGACCCAGCCGAGAATCAAACCATGCAGTTTTTACCACACCATGTCTATAAATGTGATTATAAGGGAAGTCAATGAGGTGAAAACAGTCCCCAACATCAGCAAAGGGGAGTCAATCTGCTCAGTGTATTGAGTATTTAAAGTTTTTTTAAAACAAATGTGTGAAAAGAAGAAGTATCAGCAAATATCATCCCGTTAGCTGAAACACAGAGGGAGTTGAGGCCAAATTTAGACTCTTGAGTGGAATAAAACATCCCCAGCAGCACATTAATATTGTAATAATACCATATATATTATGATAAAAGCTTCAGCAAATTATCACAACACTGAAAATGTGATGCCATCAGAATCCCCTAACTGTGTGTGTGTGTGTGTGTGTGTGTGTGTGTGTGTGTGTGTGTGTGTGTGTGGCAGATGTTAGCGGGCGCTCCTGCTGATGCTGCAGTGCACTGACGGCATGGGGCTGGACTTTGACGTGAAGACTTTCTGCCACAACCTGCGGGCCACCAAACCGCCGTACGAGTGCCCGGTGGAGAGCTGCCGTAAGGTGTACAAGAGCTACAGCGGCATCGAGTACCACCTGTACCACTACGACCACGAGAACCCACCGCCACCACCGCAGGGGACGCCACAGAAGAAGCGCAAGGGCCGCCCGCCTCGAGGATCCAGCGATGGTCCTGATTCCAGCACAGGCCCCGGGGCCACCAGCGGGCAGAACACGGCTCCGAGCAGCCCTGCAGAGCGCTCCGAACGCTCGCACTCACCTGTCAGGGAGACCATGACCTACGCTGAGGCCCAGCGCATGGTGGAGATGGAGATCCGCGGGCGCGTGCACCGCGTCAGCATCTTCCAGAATCTGGACGTGGTCTCTGAGGAGGACAGCGGGGCTGAGGAGCCTCCAGGGGCCACGGGTAGTGCAGCCGCAGCCTGTAACGGAGGCGGCGAGAGCGGAGGAGGCGACAGAATGGACACAGCAAACGGGGAGAAAGGAGCGCAGAAAACAGGGAAGCACAAGAGTAAGGAGAAGAAGAAGGACAGCGGAGCACATCATCACATCAACACCTCAGGACCCGCCGTCAAACTGCCCGAGGTGGTGTTCCGAGAGCTGGATCAGGACAGACCCGACGCGCCGCCCAGACCCATGAGCTACTACAGGTACTGCACTTACAGCACACTCTATTGTTTCAGCATCCGTATCCGCAATAGTCACATCGCAAGACACATGCCGTGTTGAGTCTGAATTACAGTTGACCAGGAGCAGTTGAACACAAGGGAAGATACTGTGAAGAATGCTGGAGATAACAGCCATAGTGGCCTCCATAGTATTTTTGACACCGCTTATGTCGATATCTCTTTTTTCCAGCATTTTTTTAGAAAATCTTTTCTTTGTTTAACAGTTTAGGTGTACAGTTGAGTCTGAGTGAATCAATTTTATTCTTTGGATGAACGGTGCCTTTAGATGAGAAATGTATTGTTATTGTAAATAATTCTGAATATGAAGTGAAATAGGGCTGCACAATATATTGTTTCAGGATCGATATTGAAATGTGTGCTTCCGCAATAGTCACATCACAGGATCTGTAATGGTGAATCAGTATTATTATTGAGCAGATTTTGGAAAACACTCATCATTTGTGGAGTTTTTGCAATCTTTATCCATAAAGTTTCCAAATCATCTATTACTAATGTGTTTTTATCATTTAATTCAGTTATATAGTGTTCAGGTAAAAGAAATACATTTTTAACTTTAGGAATAATTAATTGCGTTTATGTATATATACTATTTGTTTTTGTTTTTTTACATTTGATTGTTAATTTGTGCATCTAAATATTGCTAGACTTCCAGAAAATCATATAGCACTATTTTATTTGCTCAGTATTGTTGCTCTGCTAAATTGTCCGTAGTGTATGAGTGTGTATGGGTGTTTCCCGGTGATGGGTTGTCGCTAGAAGGGCATCCGCTGTGTAAAACATATATGCTGGATAAGTTTTCGGTTCATTCCGCTGTGGCGACCCCAGATTAATAAAGGAACTAAGCCGAAATGAATGAATGTATGAAGGTTGCTCTGCCATATTTTTCAATGTTAGTGATTGGTTTATTATCATTTGTGTTGATGCACTCCCTTACAAAATAATCTTAATTTATTGACAATTATGAATTCTTTCCAAATAGACATATTCATTTTATCGGCTGAAATTATATATTCAATATCGCGAAAACCCTACTCAGTGTTTGTGCTGCAAAACTCCACTCACTATAAACACATTTTACTGGACTGTCCTGCTTTTACTGATTCCAGAAGACTTTTTTATGAAATCCGCTCTTTTAAGGACATTTTTAACAAAGTGAAACCAGAAAAGATTTTTTAATTTTTATCATGCATCAACACTAAAAATCTTATTTAATTTATGTTTTCTTTTGTTTGTTGATTTTAAATTGTATATTTATTGTTGAAAGGTTCCTGCCATGAAAATAGCCTTGGTTGCTGACATGGCATTAAAAAAAATAAAAATAAATAAATAAATAAATAAAATTTATATATAATATTATATTTATATATATATATCGCAATATTTAGTGTACAAAAATAAAATATCACAATGTCAGTTTTTTCAATATTGTGCAGCCCTAAAGTGAAATAGTACAGAAATGAATAAATAATTTGTAATGCAGTGCAGATGGTGCTCAGTGTACGGATACAGTTGAGGTCAGGATTATTTGCCCCTGTTTATTTTTTTTCCCCCAATTTCTGTTTAACAGAGAGCAGATTTCTCCAGCACATTTCTAATCATAACAGTGTTAATAACTCATCTCTAATAGCTGATTTATTTATCTTTGCCATGATGACAGTAAATAATATTAGACTAGATATTCTTCAAGACACTTCTATACAGATTAAAGTGACATGATAAATACACACATGCATGTGCATGGTAAATTAAATATAATAAGATTTATTGAGTGTGTTTATTGTGTATTATTATCATTATTATTATATTACAATGTCTATTATTTGGGTGTTTCTCTCTAAAAAATAAATCGTTTTTGATCATGAAAACCTCAAAAACAAGTTAAAAAAATGTTGATATGTTGATCCCACCTATTGCTTTTAATCAATGAACATATCTGTAGTGTTTCTTTAAAGTCATAAAAGTACCATATCTATCTTCAGAATATCTTCTCATGTGCAGAATGTATATGTTAAAGTTGTAATGTCTCTTTAATGCTCAGATCTGTGTTTATGATGTTCAGATTTGTTTGCTCAGTCCTCTGATCAACACAGGCAGTCTCTGGGCTTTCCAGGTTCAGTCCAGCATGTAAATGCGCGTCTCTGCTGTGTGTGTTTAGTAGCATGAGGAATAAAGGATTTAGTCAAATTGTGAATGAGTTGTGAACAGAAAGAGCTGCTGTTATACAGCTGTAAATCACTGTGGTGGTCAGCAGCTATGAGTCTCTTATCAACCTTATGTTGTTATCTTGTTAATTATAATGATTTGTGAATGAGTAGGACAACATGAATGAATGAATTCCCCAGTGTTGAGGAGCTGATGCACTACTGACTAACCTGAACACTTCTGATACACTCGAGGGAGTCTATGATTGGCTGAAATAAACCTTAGCTTCTTTTTTAAATGATTTAACATTTATTTATTTAATTAAACTATCTAATATTAAAATTATATAATTAAAATATTATGAACTGTATTTTTAAATACTTTTTTGACAATATTTGTTGGCATAAAATACTAAAGTTGTAGTTTGGTGGTATTTGATTTGGCTTTAGCGTCTAAAAACTAAATGTACATGTGGATTGATGTAGCAAAGTAGTGCTTTACGACTCAGTGTGTTCCTGTTGCATATTAATAAACAACTCAGTAATATCATTGAGATATTTCCAGATATGCACACTAGACATTTTAAGCTTTAAAGTGATGTATAGTTTATCATGATTGCATTATGTTTAACCTGCAATATTATGGTTTAAAAATGTAAGCGTAAATGCTCCCACAGGTTGTAGAGTGGCCGTAAATGTGTTTTAATTTATTGCTCTTCCTACATTACAAAAACAGGGTTAAATATGCACTCAGAGGTCTTTTCAGACCTTTCCAATGATATGTAGTTTGTCATGATTAGATTTGGATTTAATCGAAAAACAGTGACCTAAGCGTAAGCATCTTGCCATAACAGATAAGGGGTGAATCTAAAGCCAGTGTTGTCAACTGACTCTGAGCACAGATTGAAATGAGATCTGGAGGCTGAAGCTGACCTTGGTCTTCTGATTAATGGATGAAAATCTAATTCTCCGGCCTCAGTCTGTGTTGTGGATCACTGTTGTACAGGTACATCGATAAATCTGCGGAGGAGCTGGACGAGGAGGTGGAGTACGACATCGATGAGGAGGACTACATCTGGCTGGACATCATGAACGAGAAGCGGCGGTCTGACGGCGTGGCCCCCATCCCGCAGGAGGTGTTCGAGTATCTGATGGACCGCCTGGAGAAAGAGTCCTACTTCGAGAGCCACAATAAGGTGAGAATCCAGATCAGTGCTCACTGCTGCGTTAACATCCACTGCCAACGCCAAACACCAGTTTCAATGGTGCCAGCAGTGGAAATGTTGAGCTGTGGATGATGTGGAGCATGTACTGTTCTCAGATGAGTCCACCTTCACTGTCTTTCCCACATCCGGGAGGGTTATGGTGTGGAGAAGCCCCTCACCCAGACTGCTGATACCCAGAGTGAAGCCTGGGGAGGGGTCACTGATGGTTTGGGCTCAATATCATGGCGTTCCGTAGACCAAATGCTGCTGCTAGATGGGCGCTGGGTCACTGCTAAGGACTACCCAACCATTCCAGAGCACCACGTGACCCATTGGGTCAAACACTGTATCCTGAAGGTGGTGGTAATGCAGCGATACACACAGCAGGACTCTAGACAGAGCGCTCTGATGAACATGACAGTGAAGTTGAACATCTCCCATGGCCTGCACAGTACCCAGATCTCAACATTATTGAGCACTTTGGGGTATTTTGGAGGAGTGAGTCAGAAAAGGGGTTCCTCCAGCGGCATCATTAGTGACCAAACACTATTCTGAAGAAGAACCGCTCAGAGACCCTCCAGACACTGTGCAGGACTCCTGTCTGTCAATCACTACACTGAGGAGGAGGAGCTACAGCAGACTGACCAACTACTGCGCCTTCACTGTCCAACCCCTTTATATATATATGTGTGTGTGTGTGTGCGCGAGTGTGTGTCTGTAATTTTGTGATGTGTGTGTTCCTGCAGGGCGACCCGAGCGCTCTGATTGACGAGGATGCGGTCTGCTGCATCTGTAACGACGGCGAGTGTCAGAACAGTAACGTGATCCTGTTCTGCGACATGTGTAACCTGGCGGTGCACCAGGAGTGTTACGGCGTGCCCTACATCCCCGAGGGCCAGTGGCTGTGCCGCCGCTGCCTGCAGTCGCCATCCAGAGCTGTCGACTGCGCACTGTGCCCTAACAAGGGTGGAGCCTTCAAGCAGACCGACGACTCGCGATGGGCGCATGTGGTGTGTGCGCTCTGGATACCGGAGGTGAGTGTGTGCGTGTGTGTGACAGTGTGCTGACCCTTCATGATGACAGCACATGTATTGAACTAGGTATTCTGTACGATACTAGTGTTCAGTCTGAAGGCTTCATTTGTCTGACAGTGGTGTGTGTGTGTGTGTGTGTGTGTGTGTGTGTTTCCCTCAGGTGTGTTTTGCGAATACGGTGTTCCTGGAGCCGATCGACAGCATTGAGCACATCCCGCCGGCACGCTGGAAACTAACCTGCTACATCTGTAAGCAGCGCGGCTCCGGCGCCTGCATCCAGTGCCACAAGGCGAACTGCTACACTGCCTTCCACGTCACCTGCGCTCAGCAGGCCGGCCTCTACATGAAGATGGAGCCGGTGCGGGAGACCGGAGCCAACGGCACCTCCTTCAGCGTACGCAAGACCGCCTACTGCGACATACACACACCGCCCGGCTCCGCACGCCCGCTCGGGGGAGTGGGCGGGGTCAGCGCTGACTCCTCCCACAGCGAAGCAGAGCCAGAGGAGGAGGAGGAGCCGCCGGCTGCTGAGGATGACGGGAAGGGCTGGAGCTCGGAGCGGGCGAAGAGAGCGAAGGCGAAGTCACGGCTGAAGATGAAGAGAGCCAGAAAGATCCTGGCGGAGCGCAGAGCGGCCGCACCCGTGCTGTCTGTGCCCTGCATACCACCACACAAGTACAGCAGCACACACACACATGCATTACACACACACACACACACACTGGAGAATAATGAGGGTGCATGTTTAATCATTGACTGATTGCATACAAAATAAAAGTCTATGTATATCACACGAGCAATATCACATGAGTAGCGCTGCGGTGTGGCTGCATATCAGGAGGCGTGCGCTGGCTCTTAGTGTCCCACCAGTGCTCATATACAGCCATATAGCACAGCTACGAGTGATATTGCACTTACTCAACAGTTTGATGGCATAATAGTGTGTATAAAAAAGAAAATCACTCACGGAGAGTCTAAAAACCCTTTTGTATGAGGGACTACTTTCTACCGCCGGTCATTCACATCTGCAGCTGACGTCAGAACAGCAGAAACCGCTGCTCATTCACTAATGTCACTGTAGAGCTAGTGTTTGACTGATTCTCTAGCGTCTAAAGTGATGACAAAACAGCTGATTTGGCCCACATATGAGGATTATGAGGCTGAACAGCATGAAATGCCATCAGTCTACAGAGATTTCCCAGTGTTTCTCTGTTGCAGTCGGGAGATCACAATAATTTATTAAATATAAATAATTACACAATAATGAACCCTGAAAAAGCCAAAGCAGAGCAAACGCTAGCAGATTACTGTCGTGTTTGTGATAAATTGCTCAACACATGCGGGCATTTCTTCTGTCTTTCTGTTTACTGAACTAGTCTGCAGTAGCGAAAACAGAACATGTATTAGAAACAGACAGACGGCCAACGTAAAAGTAACTCAGGGTTATACAAAGAGAGGCCAACACAAAACACACACATTCCTGATATGCGAGTTCCATCTCACACTCGACACACTGCAATTACTATAGTATAAATACAACACACACAAGAGAGAGATCGACTGTCACTTGCCTGTTTAATAATGATTTGATCAGCTGTAGATTGAAATTACGCTGTTTATCTCCTCTAAGGGCTTATTATGCGGTCTCCGTCACCATCTTGTGATAGACAACATTAACTATCTTTGCTCTGCTCAGTCTGGCATGCAGATGGATGCCGATGCGCGGTCTCCCTGAAATAATGAATATTTAAAATAGGCACTGCCCTTTATAAATAAACTGCACAGTTGCAATCTGAACAACTGCATTCTCAACTAAAATAAGCCTCAGCAGTGCATGATGTTGTCCAGCTGCTGCAATATTTGTCAGACTGTAGCGAGTTCATTGATCTGCTGTCAGTCTATGTGGGCGGAGGAATACAGAAGGGTGAAGAGGCCGTATGAGTGCTGATATTGCAGAATATCACACAGCTATCAGCCAATCAGATTCCAGAACCAGACAGAACTGTTGTATTAATGTATATGAAATATATATGATAAATTATATATAGAAATATAGAAATACAAAATACATTTAAATTTAAACGAAATATTGCACAAAAAATTTAAAAACTTCAAAATGTCCTCTACATTAAATTGTGAAGGGTGAACTGGTATATGATTTAATTTGATTTAAGAAGATCTCTGTCAAAGTGATGCTAATGAGATTTTCTCAGTTTTTTGCATCCTCCAATGCTCGTCTTAAATCATCAGTCAACACCCTTCAGACGGTTTAATTTATGGCTGCTTTTGTGGTCCACATATAAATCAAGTTTTCCTTGAATAAAGTTTTGCATTAATTTGTCAGTACATTACAATGTTGGTTTGTGACACTGATGTATTGATCTGGATCTGACTGTGTGTGTGTGTGTGTGTGTGTG